CGCCTCCTTAACAGCCTCTGTAATCGACATATACTTTGTCTCCGTCGTAGACAAAGCTACCATAGACTACAAAGTGCATCTCCAACACACCGACACACGGATCAAAGTGAACACATATCCCGTAGTAGACCGACGTTTATCTAAAACTTTAACGTAATCCGAATCTACGTATCCAATACATAGTCGTCCACCACTAATGTCCTGCTCAAAAAACAAACCAACATTGAGAGTATCTCAAATATACCTCAAAATCTTACCTCAAAATCTATCTCACGGCATCCCAATGATCCGGACTTGGGTCGTGCATGTATCTAGAAAGCATGCTCACTGCCAGTGACAAATCTGACCTCGTACAAACCATGGCGGACATCAAACTCCTAACTGCGCTCGCATACGGAGTCTTTGACATCAACTCTCGATCTTTGACTATCTTCGGTGAAAGGTCAGCTGAAAGCTTCAAATGGGCTCTCAATGGTACACTAACTAGCTTTGTTTTCATGCTCACATTGAACCGTTATAGAACCTTCTTCAAATAAACCACTTGTGTCAAACAAATTTTACCCTTGTTTCTGTTTCTACCGATCTCTATTCCTAAAATATGCTTTACTTCACCCAAATCCTTCATCGCAAACTCACTCAAAAGCTGAATCTTTAATCTATCTATAGCGAATCTAAAAATAGAAGCAACCAACATGTCATCGACATAAAGAAATAAGTAAATATATGCACCTCCATGCAACTTGTCATAGTACACATAAGGATCAAATTGGCTCCAAATGTACGAATGATTGATCATGAACCCATCAAATCACTTATACCACTATCGAGAAGATTGCTTCAAACCGTATAGCGATTTCTTCAATCTACAAACTAATTTATCCTTCCCTGCAGCTCAGAATCCTATTGGCCGAGTTATATAGATTTTTCTCATCAAGATTACCATGAAAAAAATATTGTTTTTACATCCAACTGATCTAACTCTAAACCATACTGTGTCACCAAAGATAGCAACATCCGAATTGAAGAATTCTTCACCACCGGAGAGAAGACTTCATTATAGTCAATACCTTCCTCCTGTGCATATCCCTTTGTAACCAACCTAACCTTGAACCTCATTGGAGTACCCTCAATGCCCTCCTTCTTCTTATATACCCAATTGCAACCAATACCCTTCCGTCCCTTTTGAAGTTCGACAAGCTCCCATGTGTCGTTCATATGAAGAGACTCCATTTCCTCCTGCATAGCCACCTGCCACAAATCAGCCTCCGAACTCTATTCGGCCTCTCTAAATATAGTAGGAATCATCTCATCAACAGTCTTTATCGGAAATGCATACGCAAAGACTGTGTATGTATACCTCGTTGGCATCCGTATGTCTCTCCTCTATCTTCGAACCACAATAGAATCCTGAACCTGAGCTGTCGATCCTTGATCCTGCTCAACTGTACCTATATCCTCCAAATCATCACCATGCTCGCCTGACGTCACCTCAGTCAGCACTCTAATGGATACGGTCTTATCTGGATAATGTAGAGCTGCATCAATCTCCACCACCTGCGATGTCTCTAATGTCGGATCACTCTCCACCTGATGAGAGCTGACAATCTTCAAGATAGAAGCATCATCGAATGTGACGTCTCTACTCAGCATAATCTTCTTATCAACTGGATCCCAAAGCTTGTATCTCTTAACATCACGCTTGAATTCCACAAATATGGTCTTCTTTGCTCGAGGTTCCAATTTATCTATTCTAACATGATAAAATGCAGGGCACCCAAATACCTTAAGCTGATCATAGTCGTGTGCTGGCTCTCCCGACCACATCTCCATAGGGGTCTTCCCCTTAATCGCGGATGAAGGTATCCTATTAATGAGGTGGCTCTCATAAGAAAGTACCTCAGCCTAAAAAATATTCTTCAAACCACTCTGCGATAATAAACATCAAACCTTCTCCAGCAAAGACCGATTCAATCTTTCTGTCACCCCATTCTGTTGCTATGTGTGACTAACTGTGAAGTACCTCTCTATGCCCTCGTCTCGATATAGCTACTGAAAGGGGCTAGAAGTATACTCATCATCATTGTCGAATCATATCGTCTTGATCTTTCTCCCAGACTGCAGTTCCAATCTCTTCTTCCACTCTACAAATATATCTAAGACTTCACTCTTCTTCGTTATGGTGTACACCCAACAACGGCTAGAATAGTCATCTATAAACATGACAAACCAATATCGATCACTAAGTAATGCTGTCTTGGTAGGACCCCAAACATCTGTGTACACGTAGTCTAAGATTCCCCTCGTCCTATGGATAGCTATCCCGAACTTCACATTCATCTTCTTGCCAACAAGAATACAATGCTCACAGAATTTAACTTTCCCACTCTTGGCTCCCTTCAATAGTCACTGCTTGCACAAAACTTGTAGTGATTTTTCACCTGTGCGTCCCAACCTATAGTACCAAAGCCTGCTTGCGTTCGCCTCTGAAATAGCTGAAGCTACCTGGCCAATCTCGATGCTCCCTTTCAGATAATATAAATTCCTACTTCAGACTCCCTTCATCACCACTAAAGATCCCTTAGTAACATTTGCTACAGCGTTCTCAAAGGTCACCTTAAATCCCTTCGCCTCCAAAGCTCCAACGGAAATAAGATTCTTCTTCAACCGAGGAACGAATCTCACTTCATTCAATTCATGAATAACTCCATCGTGTATCCGGATCCTTATGATACCTATCCCACAAATATCACAGGATTGATCATTTCCCATGACTACCACACCCCCATCGAGTCTCTCGAACGATGCAAACCAATCTCGTCGAGGAGTCACATGATAAGTAGCACCAGAATCAAGCATCCAATCAGATGATCTACATGGTTCACCTTTGGAGTAATCAATAGAGAAAAGTACAAATCATCAGAATCATCACATCTCGCGACGTTCACCTCATTGGTCTTCAGGCCCTTTTTCTTGCTATTCTCTTTCTCCTTGAACTTCGGGCAATCTCTCTTTCAATGTCCTTGTTCCTTGCAGAACACACACTGGTTCTTCGCTAACTAGTGGTGGCCCCTTGACTTTGACTTGTTCCTATTACCACCTCTCGGATATGAACTTCTACCTCTCGTCGACAAGGTCTCTCCTTAAGTGCTAGCACAGTAAGTCTCTTTGTCATTTCTCCTCAAATTATAATTCGTCAATACGTTAGTCACTTCATTGTAGGTGATGGAAGATCTCTCGTTCAACAAAGTGAGCACGAATGTATCATACTCCTCATCGGGTAAGGAGCCTAACAAGATAATTGTCCTGTACTCGTCCGTTATCTACTCATCCACGTTCGCCAAGTCTGATAATAGCTTTGTATAGTTGTTCACATGAGCCATAAGTGAGGTGCCCCTGGACATCTGGAATCTGAATAATCTCCGCAGCAAGTGCAACTAATTCTTAACACTCTTCGTAAGGTACTTGTTGTTAAGAATCCCTCACATCTTTATCGCAGACGTCACCCAATCACATCGTATTTCAGCTCTTGTTCCAAACAAGACCTGATCACCCCACAATCGTTCCTATTCATCTTGTCACATATCCCCTCATCATATTTCGGTGGCCTCTCGTGGACCATAATAGTCTCTTCCAAATTTTTAGCATTTAGAGTGTCCTGTACATCGCTCATCCACAAACCAAAATTGATTTTGTCATCATACTTCATCACACTAATCTTAGTGTTTTGAAAACCAACCTTAACTGTACTCGCCATCGTCTTGCTGCTTTCACCAACTTCTTCTTCCATTTCAAACCACTCCAAATTGTAAAGAAAGATTCAAACTTTAATAGAAATTTAAGAAATTACCTAACTGAACCCTAGATAGGATTCCAACACGATCTCCTAACCACACGAAGAAAGCGAGATCTCCAACGGTAACTCCACAATGCTCTCTCCACCGAAGCCTAGAAATCCAAGAACCAAGCTTCCACAACGAATCTTCCTCCACCTAATGCTAAAACCCTAGATCTGAAACCCTAGAGCTCTGATACCAATTGTTGCGCACCCTGCAGAAACATGCTCGACAACCAAACGAGTCGGTGAGCGATGAGAGAAGAGAACCAAATCAAATCACGAGTATAATTCACCAAAATACGACACAAATCAAACCAAGCACAGGAATTTACGCGGTTCGGCTATTGCCTACGTCCACAGGGAGAGGATGAGGAGATTTTACTATATGGAGGAGAAATATAACGGGTTACAACTCATAAAATCACTCAAATATAACCCTAACCAAAGCTCTCAACTTCCTCACAATATCTCACTCTCAAAGTGCTCAAAAGACTGCTAATTCTCTCATTAAGAAACCCTAAAAACGTGTTTTAATTTATATCAAAATACAAACCAAAACCAACTGGGAAAACCTAACTGGGCCATAACCGCTACTCGGTCGACCGCACGCATGCCCGCGGTCGACCGGCCACAAGGCTGATTTTCAGCCCTGTAAAACAATACATTGACCGCACAATCTTGGTCGGTCGACCGACCAGAACAAGGTTTTCGGACCCTGTATTGTGCACGATATCGGTCGATCGGTCTATGCTGTTCGGTCAACCGACCCACAACAAACCTGTAGCCTTAGTTTTTCCTGATCTTCTTCGCCTTTCTCTTCACTTATATCAATCTCTCCTCTCTTTTGATATGATATGATTAATGTTAATGGTAACAATATCGTTGCATTATTTTTTTTAAAGGGGTTAAAAAAATGGAGGTGAGATTAATCATATCACCCAAGTTCGGATCCTCACAGCTACATTTTTTTTTTACACCTTCCAAAAAATTAAATGCATCTATGTTGTCACCATTGACGTTAGTCATGTCTTCTTTATAAAAAATGTGAATTCCAATTGAGTGCATCTATGTTAATCCGAACTCCAATGAGGGGGATTAAAGTAGCATATGATCATTTGAGAAAACAAAATATTTTCAGAAAAACTCAACCGAAACTTTTCCAACATCATAAACAGGTCATATAATAAAAGAATACAAATTAAAACAAGGATATAACATGATAACAAGCATCCAGTTCTTCCCTATTCAAGAAGTTACAGACTGCTAAACTAAAACAGCCATGCAGAACGACATAACACTTGCAAAAGATACATCTACTGAAGGTGGGGGGCAAAAAAAAAAAAGAGAATACTAGGGCGAAAAACATTAATAAAATGATCCATACATAAACTTCTATTTGGTTTTAGCACCAGTTGATCCATCCTCTTGCCAACTTGCTTGCCACTGCTTATCATAGAAAGTTGTTTCATCAAAGATCTTCTTCAGGGTCTCAATGTCTTCATTCTTTCTTATTAGCAGTACTCCTGCAACCGCGACGAATAATAGAGTCTTGCAGAAAAAGTTTCCCATCTGATCAACGAGGCCTACGCCGGTTAAGCTATCCACAAAATAGGCCATGAAAAAGCCGATCATTGCAGCCCTCCCTGCATCAACGTGGGAGATTTATGAAGCAACAACTATGACGAAAAAAACCCAGTAAAATCTTAGTGTCATATACAAAGGTTTTCGAATAATTGCAGCCCTCCTCTTCTCTCTCTCTCTCCGCTCTTTTACTATTTCTTCCCTCCCTCTCTCTTTTCCTTCTCTCTGTTCATAAAAACCCCACTTGAGTACCATGGCTACAATGGTTCCTGGCAAGGGTAGGGACAAAGTATAAAATTAAAAAAAAAAAGATAGTTTAGACTTTTTACTCTGCCTGTTAATGTCGTTTTGCAAGAATTTCAAATGATTTTGGGTTTAGCATAATTTTGAAAGTCTCAACGATTTATAAAG